CGTTACATGATTATTATTGCCAATGGAATTGCCAGAGGAAAATCAAATTAAAATATACATTTTTAATGGCCACTGGAATGGCGCTCTGGCCAGGCCAGCAGCTCTTCTCCCCAGCCTTTTGTTCTAGGCCCCAGCTCCGTTCAGTTCAGCTCAGCTCGGTTCAGTTGGGTTCGGTTCGGTTCGCTGGTTCAATCTGCGATATGACATAATGCGTTTGGCGTCACGTTACATTGCGTTGCAACTGTCTGCAGGCCAGACTGCCTTTCCCGGTGTACGTAATTCATTAAAAAAGTTAATTTTTACCATCCGCCCAGTCGTCCGGGCCTGATTGTGTCCTGATTATGGTCACAGGGCCAAAAAGGATATGCCGCCTTATTGGGCCTGACCAGCGGCAGTCAGATAGTTCGTAACGATTATGGGGGCCAGGACACACAGCACACTTGGGAAACATAATTTCAGCGGCTGAGATTTAAGCCGCAAGATAGGTAGTCCCTTAAAATGCTTTTGGGGTGCCTTTAAATAGACTTGATAACTCTTTTGAAAAACCCTTTAAACTGTAGTTACAGACTGAAGCCTATAAGGTGAAAATGAACCTATAGCTCAAAGCATATTCAACAATTAAGTAAATAAACTTCTTTAGTTAAAATAAATAAATTCTATTTAATTTAATTTAATGCCTTTCTAATTATAATTACACTTTTTTTCTTAAAGTACATCCCCTGCAAATCAAATTTCTTACCCCTGAATGCACCTTTTCGCATGCCTTCGTAAATGCCTTTACACACCTTCTTTCATTCTTTTGGGCTACCATAAAAATATTTTAATTAAATTTCACATCTATGGCCACGGTATGTATCCTTTTGCTGTACGCCCGGGCAAACCTTTAACTGTGACCGGAACACTGGCATAAAGCGCAGCCCATTAATCATTCAAATTACCCATACATCATCATTACCCACAGTTCTCAGTTCCAGTACCCTCTCTCTGCGTCGCCTGTGGCACCTTTCTGTCTGCGGAAAATGAATCTCGGCCAGCGGGAAAAAAAGGAGAAAAATCTTCTGAAATTATTCAATGAGGGCGGTCTCAATTAGTTTTAGGCGTTTCACGGACCCTGTCTCCCTCCGTTCGCCGTTAACAGGTAGACCAGCGAAGTTACTGCAGGGGGGCCGGAAAATTGTTCAGTTACCTGTCTCGGTGGGCATTTGGCCAAGTGGAAGTTCTTAGACAGAACGGCGTCTAGAGAATTTTCCGGGAATTGCACTAAGCTGTGTGTGTGTCCAAGGCAAAGGACTTTAGAGGATGTGGGATCAAGGGGGCGCTAAATGGAGATTACATTCCAGGACATGGCGCGGTAACCATTAGAATCATTTCATCTTTTTAGGCTTTTCACATTTACTAAGAATTTAAGGTACTTATATTGAATTGAATTGGTTGATTAATATTCAAAAATTATTCAGACTTTCATTTTTAATAATTTCCATTCTTGAATTAATCTTTTGATCTTTCTTTGATAATATGATTTACTTTTCTGTGCCATAAATCACCGATCCCGAACTGTTCCAAACTTCACTCGAAGAAGTGCCATGCAAATCACCTCAAGTGCTGCCACTCACCTCATTTGCCGTAATTCCATCTGCGATTCTGTCAACCCCTCAGCGCCTGCGGTCGTGGCCGCTTTCATCGCTAAAGAGCGTTAACTAACCGCAGCGAATGATCAAATATCGAAAATCAATTCCGCTGCCATTGTCACCCATAATTAAAGTCCGCCGAACTGAATGCCCGCTGAGGTGGTGTCGCATTCGCAGTGGCATTCGTATTCCGATACGGATTTTGATTCCTTTTAAAAGGATGTCTGAGAGGGACGACGCGCAGTCAGTCGAGCGGCTCGGCTGGGAATTCTCTCACGAGTGCCACTCCAGGGCAGTGATAAGGATACGGGGATGGGGACGGGGACGGGAAAGGGAACCAACAAATTGGAAACACATTTAAATGCCTCGGTCACCACTAAAACAAAACCCAAGAAAGAAGTTACTGTTTGCCTTCCTTCCCCTTAGGGTTCGGAATCGGGGTCTGAGCCTGAGGCTCGGTCGACCGCAGCTTCCGAAACCTATTTGGGTTAGTTCTCGAGTTTTCAGTTACGGGGCGAGCCGCGCCGGTCTCAATGTCAACTGTAAAAATTTCTCAGGCGTAACGAGAAATAAGTTACATGACTTCCAACGGAAGTTGTGCGAATGTATCACCCCGCACCCCAGTAAGGGTCGGCTTACGACTGTCTGATCTGGTTCGGCCTGGTCTGGTCTGGTCGGGTCTGGTCTGGTCTAGTCCACTTTGTTGGCAACTTGATTCTTAATTATTGCATTTATGCTCTGCCGACAAATTTGCGGTAATTGAATATTCTAGAGATCTGGTTTTGGGCCCGATTATTATTAGGGCCGGCGGAGTGACGAAGTCAATGTGCAGCCACCTTTGTCTCTCTCGTAATTAGTGCGTTGAGTTATTGTCTATTTGGGGTTAGAACATGTTATCCTTCCTTGGCCGATTTTTGTGTAAAGTCCTGCATGGATGTAACAGGACCTCCCGGGGCTGTTTATAACCAGATTAGACTTGTCCAAGGCCCAGGCTTCCCAAGTGGGTTAATGAGGTTATTGAAAATCTAGTTAAAGTTTACACAGTTCAAAGGGTTCTTCAAGTGCAAATAGTCATAAGCGTTTCTGATTTATTCAAGGGGAGAGGAAAAAAGTAATGCAACTTTTTTTCTGTATTATTTAAATAAACAATACATTTAGAATTGGATAAAAAAATAAAGAAGCTTTCCGTTTAATCTACTTTAGCTGGTTTTGTAGCATATTTATGATTTTCTAATTATTTTCCTATTAGCTTACTCTCCGCTTTAACTTTTCCTTTAGTTTATTTTGAATTTGGAAGTTTTTACCAATTAACAGAACCTTCTTCCCCTTCACTGCTTCCTGGGAAACGTGATAAACGCCTTTCGAAATATTTTCAAATATATTTTAAAAAACATGCCGCATTGGCCAAATGCATTACGAATTCAAATTGTATCTTTTCCTTTAATTGGTTTACTTGTTTGTTATTTGTTGCCGGGAATATTTCGCCTCAGGTGCAGACAAAGTTACCATTTCCGATCCCTTCAGCCGTCGCCGCATTTGTCAATATTTTCGTCCGAGACTACAAGGCTGCAAGGCTGCATGGCTGGCGGCGGGCTGTGGAGGGCTGTTGGGCAAACAAACATGCTTAAAATAACAAATTAGCATAGACCAGGGGGGGAACCCGGCCTGGGACTACGTACTAAAACAACAAATAAAGAGCCCAGGGCCCCGGGACGGTCGGGTCGGGTCGGGCTCTGCCAGCAAGCTACCAATTTGGTACACTCACTCGAGATCGAGTTCCAAGTGCTGACTGGATGGGATGGATGGCTGCTCGGCCGGCTGAAAAGTTACATCAATCACCATCAACACTCCACAACTCATCGACATCGAAATACCAAAATGGCGCATTGGTGTTAATGATGCCGACTTTGAAATTTTACCGACGCGCCCACAAGAGCCTTTGCGAAAAAAATATAAAAAAAATAAAGAAAAAATATATATACGCAAAAAGCAAATAAGGCAAGTGTCGTTTTGAAGTTTTCATCATCATCATCGGCATCGTTCGCCATTGGAGGGTCACATTCGTCATTGGGCAAACAAATGAAGGGGACGCCGAGCTGACAGATAATTTTTTGCCTGCTTGTGCTGAATGATGTGCGAACAAGTTGTAATTATTTCGCATTAAGCCACGTAGCCCAGCGGAACGCAGATATGACGATGATGAAGCTCAAGACGAGGTCTTCCTTGTCTTCTTGGGGAAACCAAAGGTGTCAAGATGAATGCATCTTAGGGAGTAGGGAGAACAGGCAACTACAATAGAAACCGAAACTGAAACTGAAACTCAGTAATGAGCGCGGTCTCGAGGGCTGTGAATATCCTGGAAAGAGCTTCAAGCTCAATGACAATGGTTCTTATCCCGTTAAGTTGACTTTGAAAAATGGTAAAAAAAATACGGCTTTTATTGATAATTTTGTACTTATGATATGTACTTAAATCTAAAAAGTATAAATATATACAAGAAAATCTTTAAAAAATTAAGAAAAAATCCTATAGTACCACAAATATATTCGAAATGCCTATAAAGAAACCCACTCGACGATGCTGGCTTGAGCTGGCCATTAGGACCACGTTAAGTTCCACCACCACCCTCCCTTTTGGACTGTGTTATCTGGGGAGAAATCAAACTGCTGCCGCCACATTGCGTTGCATTTAATTATGCGAATGCCTTCGATTGCCGGCAACCAGTTGACACTGAAGTCTGGCTTTCCCACGTTCGCACGGCCAAATACCAGAAATACTCACCCAAAAACCAAACGCCTACCAAAAAAAAAGTCGTTAGACCGAAGTTGGGCGGAAAAGTCGTGGCCCTCCCCGCGGCTCAATTTACAATACTTCTGCGTTTTGTCACCGGAAAAAGGTAAATCACAAGCTGACCACGCAACAAGCGGAATTATTCTATATATTTCATTTTTTTCCCCTATTTTCCACAGCGCCGTTTTGAGGGTGAAAATGAGAGTTCGGCGGAAAAGGCGCAAGTTTTCATTGCGCAACATGAACAACCCCCGGGCCCGGGGTTTTGGGTATCGGGTGGCGAGGCGAGGCGAAGTAACCACCGCGAGACGTCGCGAACATTTGATTGCATTCGATATGCGCTTTTGGGAAAATTTCCCACGATTTTCGTGGCGGATTTTTCCGAGAGGTAACTAGCTCAGGTCAGTTCCGAGCAGCTTCGGTCCAGATGCTTTGATCGAAAGCTGCTGTGCGAGTGATAAGGCTCATGCACTTGGAACAATAATTGTGAAAATGAATTGTGGATTTAAATTTAAAGATAAATATGGAATGTTAAAGTATTTTACTGCTGTAACTATAAGCACTTAGACAATTGAATAAAACTAATGCTTTACTACTTTATTGCTGTTAAATGTAGACCTAGCTTAGCATCACTAAGATTTTTAAGACATAAAAGGATGATTTCGATATCGACATAGCTTGTAGATTTTCAGAAAAATTATAACTGTTTCTCTGAGTGCATTATCATCACCATCCTTATCCACATCATCATCCTCATCGTCGCTTTGATCCTCATAATCAACATTTATGGCCGCTGATTGTTTTCGCGACTGACCGCGACGCCTTGGAAGAAAGGGTTGGTCGCTTCCCTTCTGACAGATAGGGAAAGATGGTCCTCGGTCGTGGTAGTCTGAGATTTGTGTGACTCATAACGAGTTTCCTCTCGCCTGGCTTGGACCTTAAGTGGATATTGCCCGCGATCCTTTGTCTTGCACAGCTGCCCCTTTTGTTCGCGGTCCTGGACAGTCCAGCCGCCGCTGTATTAATCCTGTTTTCAGTGGCACTTCTTCGGTTACGGCAGCTTAGCATACGGACAAAGTGGAGTAGAGCGCATTCTTTATGTAAATTTCCCATTATAGTTACTTTTTTCCATCACTTAATCCAGTTGAAATCAAGGCGCGACTGCACGAATTAAAAGTTGCCGGGGATGTTCGTGATCTCAGCCAGATCAGAAAATCCTTGAGAGTTGTGAAGATGCACAAGAAACCACTTGGAGAAAGTTCCTGAATTTAAGAATATATTTTATTTACTTCAAAATTGCAGTTCTGAATCAGCTGTGCCGCCCATTTCTCTGTTTATTTATTAATTTCACTCGAAAACACTTCCTCCATTGTCTGGCTGTGGCGCATGCCAACTCCGTCCAAAAAAAATTATACAATAACCCAGAACGAACAATGATGAAGCCATAAAAAGTATTCCCAAATGTAGAGATCCGGAACTTACGCAGAATAATCTTAAGGGAGCCGGGTCAGGCGTAAGTTTTCAGGAAACTGCGGAGATCATGGTCATGGGGGTCGGTATTAGCTGGAACAGTATTCTTGGTGGCCAGAGTGAGGATACGCTCGTGAAGCACCATGTAAGCGAAAAACTGCAAGGCACTGATAAACAGATACTCGTTCTTGGGCACATCAAACTGTCGATCGTGGATAATGGTAGCCGTGTACATCATTACGGAGACGGCGATCACGGCGAAGGTGTTTCGGACAGCAACGTACAGCCCATCGTAGTGGATCCACAAGGCGTTGATAAAGAACAAAATCATCATGATGTTGGAAATGGCCACCAGAAGGCTGAGCAGCAGATCGCCCGGCACAATGAACATGGGAAAATAGGCGCCCCAAAAGATGGAGGCCAGCATGAGGGCCACAACAATGATGCCGGCATATATGTTGACTAGGGTGTTCTGGCTTTTCGTCTGCTCCATGGCTATATATATGGTGGATGACTCCACGATAGCTCCGAGGAGGATGTAGTTGAACGGTACCTTGCGTCCGCAATTGGTCCAGGCGAGGACGGCCACTGCAAAAAAGGTGCACGCTAACCACCAGCCATAGAGGACTTCGTGTTTCTGGTAATCAGTTTTTCCTAAGAGCGCGCCAAAAAGTATCCACTGGATCAGGGCAATGGAGGCCATAATGATAGTCAGACCGTAGATGCGGCTGGCATAGCTGATGCGCTTATGGGGCGGATTGCCGAAGATCTGAATTTCAGAAGAACGATGCGTTTTGCGACGACATATTTTCATTGTTTGTATGTAATTTAACATTGAATTTTCAGACGGGAAACAATAAAGGCAAGGCCGAGTGTAGGGGAATTAACTATTGCTGCTCTTGAACTGTCGTGATATTTGTTTTTATTTAAACTCTTGGATAAGTGACGTTCATTTTCTTTCTGCACATCTTTAACTTATCAAATTCAATGACTGCATATCAGTGGTGTGAGCGAATAGAAGGGCGCACACTAGCATGGTCCACTTGCTGACGAAGAGTCCCAGCGCGCAGATGAGCTCAAGGCCAAGGGGGACGTAGTGCGTGCGGCAGTGGATAAACTGCGACTGCATTAGGGTGGCGGCCATCGCCAGAATGGCCAAGAAGCTAAACAGGCTCACTACGAAAGATCTCTGGAACTCGATAAGGCATAAAACTAACGTCGCAATGATTCCCATAGCACAGATGAAGACGATCACTGCATAGACGAGGGCGTTTGGCAGGCACGACTTTCGGCACTTGGCTCCCGCCACAACCAAACCATGTATTACAGCGCCTGAGAACAATATGCATATGATCAAGCGGATCCAGCCGAAGTTATATGTGTAGTATATAGTGAACAGCGACAGGAGCAGTACTATGCAGAGGACCAGGGCCCAGCCCACAGAGGCCGGCAAACGCCTAGGCCCTATGTAAGCAATGCATGCCAGGAGGCTGTAGGCCACAACCAGATATATATACGGCGGAATCGGCAGGATCTCGGATATCTTGAAGCCAAGCGACGAGATGAGCAGCACGAGCACCAGTAGAAAGAAATAGAAAATCGATGCGTTGATGTAAACGGTACGTACGAACACTACCACGTCCCTTGGCTCGATTCCCAGTTCGTTTCTGATTCTCTCCTCCTCATCCCGTCGCTCAGCTTCGGACTGACAAAGTCTTCCTGGCAGGCGCAGGCGCGGCTGTAATTTCGGCATCGACAAACAAATAATTTTATTACACGACATTGATTTCTGAGACTATATGTCCTAGACTTTGCATTGCATTCAAATCAGAAAAAGCTGAAAACAGAGCTAGCCCTACACACTGCTCCAGGGAGGCACGCAACTGACCAAAGCTGGTTCGAGTACCTGGCTAGGATTCCCCTAAATCAAAGCTGAAAACTAACGAAATATTTGCCACTCACTATCCTCCAGCTACGCTTTAAAACTCTGAAATATTTATTTTGTAAAACTAGCAAAGATCATCAGGCAGGTCGCCAGGAAACAGAAGTGCATGTAAATCCCATTGGCACAGCTGGCTACTTCCCCGTACGGCACTTGCTGCAACCGTCCGCAAATGAAGCTGGCCTGGAAGGGAGCCAAGAAGATCACTATGATGAAGAACACAATAGCACTGGCCAAGACGTAACGGCCATCATTGGTGAATAACGACATCATGAGGAGCACGAAGAGCGTGATGAAGCCCACTAGCATTACGGCGCAGGTGCAGAGCATGTTGGGCAGCATAAGCATTGGAGCCTTGGCTCCGTACAGGTGGAGCAGGGCCAGCAGAACCACGGAAATGCCCATGGCCCCCACCACCACCCACACGGACATTAAGACCACGAAGTAGCAGCCGAACAGGGTGATGAAGAACAGGGAGCCGAGGACCAAGCCCCAGCAGAGCCACAGAGTTACCGGCGTCTGCGGTGCACAGCTAAGTACCGTGAGGAGGACGAAGGTGATAATGAGCCACATAAACGGCGGCACCGGAATATCACTATAGACAGGCGGTTTCAACACCGATACACAGATCCACGGAATAGCAGACAGCAGGCACAGGATGGCGGCGCACAGGTAAACTTTAAAGATGAAGATCCGCAGCTTGCGCGCATTAATCTCATTCGGCTCCTCCTGTTCGGGATCAGGATTTCTGCGTGGCCAAGGCCGTATCGCCCGATTATTCCGATCCATGTTAATTTGGAATTTTATAAAATATAAAATAATACCTACAATTTTTGACAACATCGACAACAGCCGATACGACATGCGGAAAGGCTTTACATCGTACTACTTTCAGTAAATGCTTCAATTTCGTAAAAGTATTTCCACGTTCCGCTTTTCGATACATTTTTAAGCGTTTATTTAATATACTTATATGTATAATAGGTGAATATTATATATTTTTATACGGCGCACCAGTTAATTGGGTTGGGTAAGCAGGCTAGAATTATTCCTCATCATTTCACTGAGTGTAATAGCCTGTAATAACAAACAGTTGGTAAAAAAGCCACTAAACAACTTTTCATTATACAGTAAACATTTTTTGTGTATTTCTTACCGCTGTCATCTTTCGTGGTTCGAGTAACCTCACGCTGGCGTAATTTCTCCATCTGGATAAAGTAGAAAACGCAGAAGAGGAATATCATGGTGTGGAGATAGAGGGTCAGAGCGCAGATCATCTGGTGCTCCGGCGGAGACACCTCCACAACGGTCAGGCGGCCGTGGTTGAACTGAGCCTGGATGAGAATCGCTATGACCACCATAATGAACAGGATACAAACGAAGACGTGCAGCAGCTCTCTGCTTTCGGAGAATAACTGGGCGATTCCCACACAGATCAGCACTAGTAGCAGTATCATCATCAGTATCGTGGAGCAGACGCCGCCGGGCAGAAAGTCCTGCGGGCATTTGGAGCCCGAGAAATTGAGAACTAGAATGGCGATGGCCACACCCACGATCGTCAGAACTGCGTTTAACGTTCCCACTTGGTCGATGAGCACACATCCGGCAATTGTTGTGCAGAGCACGACGATTACCGCCATTATCCACTTGCAGGGCGAGCAGGAGGCAATCTTGGGGATGCAGTTGAGGGTCATCATCACCAAGAATACGGTGATCACCAGCAAGTAGATGGGAAAGGGCAATTCCTTGTGCGGATGCCACTTACTTAGCGTGAAGATTAACCACATAACCAGAGTCAAGCACATGAAGGACAAGCCAAAGATATAGTTGTTGCGGATGAACTGCGTCAGCTCGTCGAGCTCGGGGCTCTCCGTCCGGACGTTATCCTGATGGTAGATGTTGTCCATCTCGCATCAGTGTTTGCGAGTGTTGAAATTGGCTCTAAAGCAGTCCCTGACAAGTGTGGCGCGGCCGAGCTGTTGGCATCCCGAGGCATTAGATCCTAAAATATATACTAAAGTGGAAGGAAGATTTATTTATTGCTAAAATTATTAAAAATTGTATCAAAGACACCCCGATCACGACAATTGATGTTTTAGATAATATCTTGCCCAAATTGTTCCTGTGGGAACTAAATAAAACACAAACATTTTTTTGATTTTTTTACATGTTGGGAAAGGAATACTTTATTGATAAATTAAGGATTAACTTAATTGAAAGGTCCAGATGCAGTAGAAGGCGGCGCTGAAGAATAACAAGAAGTGCAGATAGATGTACGTGGCGGAGATGACGAACTCGTAGAAGGGCAAACTGAATCTCCGGCCGTGCACGAGCTGGGCGTGGTAGGTGGTCAACGGTATAAGGACCACGAGGAGCAAGCAAAAGTATGCGTTCGAGTAGACAACCTTATTCGTGAAGATATGCATGGTGATGAGGAATATGGAGATCAGCCCAAAAACTACGATGATGACGAGCATCGCTCGCTCGCCGGGCAGCACAATCTTGGGCAGCCAGGCGCCCAGCAAATAGCCGATGAGGAGCAGGATGCTGGCAGCCACCAAGGCTAAGGTCACCCTCATAATCGTCCTTTCGGCCAGGATCAGGACCACACCCGCACACACCAACTCCGCAAATAGGGCGGACAGAAGGATGCTTATCCAGAGGATCTGCCGCAGATTGTCCAGGATGGATATGAAAAAGAGCATCATCAGCGATATAATGACGCACACGAAGCCGGCCATTATGTCCGCGGTGGACGGTTTTAGTAGAAGCGTGATTAACAGCATTTGAATCGCAGCAATCACGGAATACACACTTGCCACAAGATAGCACAAATAGATGAACTTCTTTGCCAGAGCCCGCTCATTTTCGGCATTCTCCAGTTGTCCGGAAGCTCCGCCATTATCCGGATTGGGTCCCAGGGGGCAGGGCCTTAAGTTGAGGATACGATCCGGCGGCGACTGAAAGTGAACTGAGGCCAAGCGCTGGCTATTAGGTTCTGGCGGCTGCGGAAAGTTGAGCAAATGGGCGCCGGGCGGCCAGGAGGCCAGCCCTAAGTTCCTCGGACTGCCATTTAACATTCTCTTGGAGACACCAGGAAAATTTTGACAAGTAACGAAAGGTTTTGTATATTTTTGAAATTTACTATTTAAAATATATATTTTATTCTTAATGCAAAACCGTTTACAATCAAATATTATTCCTAATGGAACTCCACCTTTAATCCAAAAGAGAGATAATTATAATATCTAAGCTGAGGCGATGCCAGGCCTAAATATTTAGCATTTCGGCAAAGCTAAGACCCATTGTATTTCCCGAGCAGGAAGGAAACCCAGCGAGGCATGCGGAAATCAGAGGGATAGAGGGAAAATTCCAAGTAGCTGCGATCAAAGCTAACAAAGCAGCCACAAAGGAGGCTGGCTACTCACTTACTCCTTTCTCCCCTTGGCTGGCATTGTTTGTTTTTATTTTGCTGATCGCTTGAATGACACGCAAAGGATACAAGGACGAAGAGACAGGGAGACAAGGAAAGGATTCTGTCTGCTGCCGCATCTCCGGCCTCGATCACGAATCACTTTCACAGCCGGGTGACGGTTGATGCTTGATAACTGATGGCTGATGGCTGACGAACTAAGAGCATTGTTTGGCCAATGACTCAATCTCAATCATCTGCCTATGCTTATCCTTGATCCTTGCTAAGGACATGCAAATGTGGAAAAGGGCAGCTGCACTTAATGCAATAGATACGCCGCTGAACCCCTTGAGTTCTCAATATAATTGTTAACTCTTTCGGGTCTGTGTAATAGCTCCTGATGGGATTATTGATCAGAGGAAGACTTCTAGGAAGTCAACAAATCATACGTGGCTAGTTGCTTATGCTTTCTTCACTAACCCGACCTTGTGCCATATGAATATAGGTATACTTTACACTATTCTTTAGCCAGGTCAACGTACTCTTGGCACAACTATTTTCGGTGTTTTTTTTTAGTTTAGTTGTATCCATGCCCCGGGCTGACAATGATGAAAGGGCCACTGCCAGAGGTTCGCATGAGGAAAGTGAAAGCGTCGGCAAGTGCTTGACAACGACATGCAAGCGTATGCAGTGGACCAGGCCGAGGCTTTTCCCCGTTACCTCCACTTTTTGGCCAGACAGAACGACCGACCGACCACCAGGCAACAAACTAACGGAGATTCCCCCAGAGCCACACACACATCATATACCTAACTCTATTTGGGATTTTGCATGCGAATGTGAACATGAAACGTTCGGGAGCCGCAAAAAGCACAAGCCAAAAAGCTCACAGAAGCGTAACGAACGAGAACAGAGCCCCGGCGGTGGATTCAGAATTCGGAAATGGGGAGGAGGAGGAGGAGCCGCCACTGTCATCCGTGGGTCAGTGGAGAAGACAGGTTGCCCCATTCTACACGATTTATAATATTCTATTAGTTCCACGACCCGAGTCCGAGCGAGAGCCCGTGCCCGTGCTCGAGAACGAGCCGGGTTTGAGCCCAACCCGGCCTGTCTCTGACTGACTGACTGACGGTTCTCTCTGTGTGTGTGTGTGTGTGTGTGTGTGGCAGCGCAGTTAGCGCAGATAATACATCCGTTTCCGGTTAAGCCCATATTTTTGTGTCATTTAGTCGGGCGAGGTGCAGGCGGCGACGAAGGGGGAATAGGAGAAAGCGAGGGAGGAGCAGAGCGGCAAGTGCCGAGACAGCGCATGTGGGAGTGGAACAGACAGCTACAGATGCTGATGAGATACACTGGGGGAAAACTATTAATTTTTAATAAAAATACTATTATATATTTAATAAATAAAAGTTCATTTATAACACTTTCTTAAAATTCATAACTAAAATAACCTTTAATCTAGGATTCCAGTTTTGACTAGGGATTCCCTTTTCTTCCAGTGCATTCCAAGGGCTGACTTTGTCGCTGACATGCCAGCTAACGAGTGGCGGAAGAAGGGAGCACGGTTGCCCAGTGGGTGGGGCATGGGCACGGACATGGACACGGACCGGGACAGAGACAGGCAACGGGACCGGGACTGAAACTGGTACTGAAACTGGGGCTGGGCGCATCAAGTGATGCGACAAGTGCAGCAGACGCTGGAGCGGAATCGTCAACGCTTCCGCATATTTCTCATTTCCACAATTAAACATTGTGAGTGGGGGAGGAGCGTTAGGAAAAATGCTCCAAGGGTGCTCCAAAGCGAAGGGGGCACGGGGGGTCAGCCTGCTTCTTAGATAAATCAAAGCCAAAGCAATTAATAATGCATTTTTGGAGCGGGGAATAGGTAAATTTGCAGCATTTGCTCCCAAACGGAAGCTCAAATGGAGCTTGCAGCTTGGAAAGTCGTGTAATTATGCTGCAGGCCCCCCTTCCGGAATGGCCCCCCAGGAACGGAATGGAACGGAAGTTCTGCATGGCTTTACCGGGGACCCCTTATGCCCCCCTTTAGGGGTATATGTATATCTGAGACCTGTCAGCCAGCTGTTGGTGCACACACGACTCCCTTGTCCAGCTTTATATGTTATTAATGAGTTATTGTATAACACCTTCGGACCCGGCGGCTGCTGTTTCGAAGTCTTCCTAGTTATTCACCAAAAGATAAAAAAAAAGAGTATACAACGTTGAGCAAATAAACACAGTTAAGTCAACAAGAAAAAGGGAAAGCTGTTTAAACACACACCCTCCAGAAAGTGAAAAGGTTCCCTAAAAATAAAACTGTAATCAAAATTGTATACGAAAATGTAGGAAATACTGCAAGCTGTTGTGAAATAACAAAAAAGTACAATTTAGTTTTGAAATGCAAGTGGTTTCTTTTTTTTTAACAAAAATAACAAAACCACAAAAAATTCTAATTTTTAATAGTGAAGTTTTGGTGGTTGACCTGCTGCTGTTCTAATTACTATATAAAATATACAATACTTTAATCGTTTCCCCTCCAGCACAGCGTTACTAATTACATTTGTGCTGATGCTAATTTGTTACAATTTCCGGAATTTCGCTAATTTATTTTTTCAACATTTTTATTAGCGCCATAAATTTATGCAGTGGCTACAGGGAAACGGCAACTGGACGCACTTCCTCTTCAATTGTTGAATATATGTATCATCAGCAGAGACGTTAAATTTGCATGGTATTTACGATTAAATATAAAATGTTGCTGAATCCATAGCTTTATCATGTCGTTTATTGATCCATTACTATCACTTTTCTGCGTCTAAGACCCACAAGTGACCCACTGAAGGCCCACACGAATCCCCAGACTCATTGTTGGACGCCGTCTTTTGTCTGCCGCCGTTCGCTCTGGGTGAATAATACCACTATTCGTGGGTGTTTGAATTTATGAACAGTTTATGGGTTATGGGCGATTTTTGCACTCGTCCGAGCGGCCGGACATGTCTTGAATTGTGATTGATTTTCAAGATATTAATATTTATATTTTTTATTTCTTTATTCCGTCTGCTGGCCCCTTGAGCACATATTTTTTTAGACTTTTTATGGGCTGGCAGAATGTTGAAATAAACACGTTGTATTGCCGCTGTTAATGGCCGCATAAATTGTTGTCAGATATTAGTAATAAATATATATTTTCCTCGTGTATGTGTTGGTTTTGTTTATTTTTTCATAACAAATTTGTCGGTATTTGTCGCGCACGTGCCAACGATTTTCGAGACCAAAGTCGCTCTAATGTATTAGTGCTGCATTAGTGGTAACCATTAATCGAATCCCCAAGAAAACGCTCGGTCGCCTGCAGGCCAAAGAGGTTAAAAGCTTCGGCCGGCCGAGTTGCATGCCACACTTTCGTTGGCAAGCTGCCACGTCGTGAAAATGCGCAAGGAAGCTCAGACCACATCCTTTTCGGTGCCAGCAATATGGATATGACATTGATGGGGGAAACAGCTCCCCACATGCCAGCCACGGGACCTAAATTGTTTGCTTTTAGTTGCGTAGTGTCCTCCGCCTCCTCCTCTCACACGTGACTTGGCTGGGGCAGGGGAAAATGATTGCGGCAGGACTCATTAAGTGTTGTAATAATTCCTGCATATGGCACTTAGCCCGGGGAAAATTGTTCTTGATTTCAGGGAAATCTACTTTTAATTCTGTGCGTAGGCTATAGGATTTTATAAGTATATATTATCGAATTAAAACTATCTTTGTTCCTTATTAAACTGATTATTCCCTCCGGATCCTCGCTCTGCTGGCTTGCCGCTTTCAGCCCCTGCCCCGAATCAGTAGTCATTGATAGCTGGACTGGTCAGTGCGGGCAGGGCCTCCATGGTTCATTAGAACCCATTAAGGTTAGCCAAACAAAGGGCCAAGCGAGCAGTCCTCAGTTCCAGCTACTCATAAAATTTGCGCAGCTGAGCGCCAAAAACCAAACAAAAAAAAAACACAAAAATGAAAACGAAAATCCAAGTTGAACGAAGCGTACGAAATCATTTCCTACTAAAATCAACGAAACGGAGGTGGTGTCGGCGGTGGACTGTTTAAGTGGAGGTGGAGGACCAGGCGATGTGGAATCTGGAGGTGCTGGTGGTGGCACTCCGGCACTCGGACACCGGCCCGGCTCAAAATGCGTGACTGCGACTAATGACCCGCACGTGTTCGGTTGCCGGGCTGCCAGAGGTACGAGTTCTACGATGACTATGCGTCGCGCTGGCAGAGAATTGATTACGATCGCTGGACGCATATTAATTGTGGCAGAAATGCAGCCGGGCAGGCCATACCTATAGCCGGGTAAAGGATACCACCCGAAAAGGACACTGGTACTGGAGCTGGAGCCTCGCTGCGCATATGATTAACCACTTAATGGATTCTCCGGATGGGCATACTTTGCTCTGGGACATCCAGACTTCGTGTTGCTGCAGGTAAACAGCGCATTTGTCGATTGCCGCCAGCCAGCCACACACCGAGATCGGCAACTGGGGAGAGGAGCAGGAGGCCCAAAATTTGTCACACCTCCGAGGAAGGGGATCCCCCGATGCCGGTGCCCAGTCTCTATGACTGATGATCCATCCAGTGCGGCGGCTCCAGAGACGTGTTGGCGATCTTATCCGATAGTTCGGTGTGCGGCCACGCACTTGGCCAGCGATGATCAAAAATGTTAATGAGCGCTAATTA